CACACACACATACACATATACACATATACACATATACACACACACACAAATGCACGCACACGCGTGGGCATGCTTGCGCGCACGCACGCGCACACACGCAAATCACAGTTGCAACCTGCCCAATAAACACAAGCGCCTCGCTACTCAGCCCCCCACCCTCCACCCCCCCCCCAGGCCACCAGCGCCCTGGACTCTGCCAGTGAGAGGGCGGTGCAGGACGCACTCGACCGCATCAGCGTGGGACGCACCACAGTCGTCGTCGCACACAGGTGGAGTGCACTAAAGTTCTTGTGTTTACCCCCGCCGAGCTTGGACAGGACAGGGCTGCTTTCGCTTGCGCAAGCGCCCGCTGCGGGGTTGCGCGCAGGCGGCCCGCGCCCTCTCCCGCCGCTCGGTGCCGCCTGGGGGCCATCGCGCCTGCGCAGCTCGCGTTGAGAACGCACATGCACAGCCGGCGTGCTGACGCGTCCGCCCCTCGCGTCCTTGCCTCCCTTCCGCCGTGCCCCACCCAAACGCAGGCTCTCCACCATCCGCAACGCAGACGTGAGCGCGCGCACGCTACGGCCAAAGTGCTCTACCGCGCGCCGCGTCCACTGCCGATGCCCGCGCTTCTGCTGCATACGCACTTGCATATGTGTCCAGGGCTGCCGCGTTTTTCGTAGGACCTGTGTTCATTGAGAGAACCCCTGCAGCTCCTCCTAAGCCCCATTCAGCAAGGCGCTGATACCCGCGCCCGCAATCAAGCTCATGCCGACCTCCAACCGCCACCAACTGTTTCTTCAACCGCCTCCCAACCGCCTAACCGCCGCCAGGTCATCGCTGTTGTGTTCCGCGGGGTCATCCTGGAGCAGGGCACGCACGACGAGCTCATGGCTCTGCCCAACGGCGGCTACGCGCGCCTGGTGGCCGCGCAGTCGCGCCCCGCGGCGAACGGCGGCGGCAGCAGGGGCGGCGCCGCCAGCGGCGGCGGCAAGGACGCCGCGGCGGCATGAGCGGGCGATGAGGGGAGGATCGTAGCTCGCGTGTGTCTTGGGGCGGCGCCGCGCTCCCCTGCATAGCTGAGGGATCATGCGGGGCGCGGGGCCGGCCCAGCGCAGGCGGGCTCTGGGCGGAGATGGCTGCCAGCTCGTGCTGCAGGCACGGCTGTGTTTCGTTTGGGGTTTTTGGGGGGGAAGGGGGGCAATTTTTTTGTGCGCACCGGAGGGCAGGCCGAGGCGGCTTTGTTGAGCGGGCCGCCTGCTTGCCCTTTTTGTCGTCCTTAAGCATGCTAGCATGCTCATAGTCATTGCCCCAGGCGCACACTGTGCCGACCACACGCACAGCCACTTGCCGTGCCCCGGCGCCGCTGCGGACTTGGCACTTCCCCTTTCTTGCGATCTCCACGCATCGCCCAGCTCATTCGTGATGTTTTCTGGGGCCGGGCCGCGGGGCCCTCCGGCAAAGCGCAAGATTCCTGAGTCAACATGCACCGCGGCTCTGGGTTTTTTTTGGCCCAAAACTACGACTGCGGCGCGGCTGGCCGCACCTGCTGACTGGTGTGCCGGCGGCGGCTGCGTTTTCCAAGCCAAGCCCGTGGCTGCCGCGCGGGCCTAGGGATGGGTGGGGGAACAGACGCGACGTCGCACCAACCATGTATCAAGATCGAGTTTCTGGGGCGGAGTTTCTGGGGGTTTCGGTCGCTGCGGCTTCAAGCCACGCGCGACAACAGGTGTGCGGGGCGCATGTCCAGGGTTGCTCGAAGCCAGTCGGCAACCCCCAAAGCTTTGCACGACACTCGAACTTTTTGCGGCATGGCGTGTGCAAGACCCCTGCGCGTTTGCGCGGGCGGGCGACACCGCTCTGCATGATTCTGGGCGCCAGCGGCTGTCCCCCCCGAAGAACTTGAGCTGCATTCACACCCTCTGAGGCGGTCCCGACGCGCCAAGAGGCGCCCGCATGCCTCGCGCGCCATATGTGATTGCTCGGTATCTGTCTTGCGATATCTGTAAAACCCAGGGTGCAACACGATCGACGTCACAGGCTCAGCAGGCTGGGCCGTGGCAGGAATGGTGGCCGGGCGCCCCTCCGTCATCCGACCGACGCCGCTCAACTCTGCTCGTGTTGCAAAGCAGGAACCGGTTACTGTCTGGATGAGGGGGCGGTCGCTCCCACGCGCAGCCGAGCGGTGTGTGCAGCCGACCGCGCTTTGGCCGACGCTGCTTTCCTGTTGGCGCAGGGCGGGCACACCGCGCAGGGTTCGCCGACCTCTGGCCGACGCTGTTGTACTAGATTTACTTGACACGTCCTAGCCGAGGGCGGCGAGCCTCACCAATGGGCCGGTTGACCGCTGGTCCTCTTTCATCTTAGAATTGCCGTCACTGCACCCTGTCTCAAGAAATGTTCAGGTACTGAGGTGCGCTACGCGACAAAGCGCGCCTACCGCGTGGCATTTTGAGCTTGAATATCACAAGCTGCGCAAATTTTGAATCCGCAGGGCCACAAAAGCTTCGAGCAGGTGGTTCGAGCCTCCTGCGCGTCCGTTGCGCATCGACACACTTCAGCCGCTGCGTGACGGCCCTCCACCTGCAATCGATGTTTTAGCTGGCATTGAATATCAAGCGACACAGCTTACCACGCGTTTCGCGTCGTCGAGCACGAAGTTCAAATTAGATCACTCGTTGTCAACCTGGGGAACGCGCTGACATCTCGAGAAGGGAAATGAGCGCTCGAACGCCTACCAGGAAGGCGGCGGCGGGCAGGGCTACCGCGTCCGCGCCTGTGGAAAAGGGTGAGCGCAACCGCACGGACAACATCAACACAGCATGCCGCGGCACGCAGACATTTGCAGGATGGCTGTGGGCGTCTGCCCTCAGATTTTGCATGTCTAGAAGTGCGGCCTCGTCTCCTGATATGAGCGCGTATGCGTTGCTTACCACCGCTCGACACCCGCCCTTTGCCCGTGCTTGCCCTCGGCTGGTGCCGGCGCCGCCGCCCCCGACGCGCCAGGGCCGGCGTGGGAGAAATGGAAGCACGTGTACACCGGGCGCGAGCTGCGGCAGAGGGTTGACGGCCAGGAGCGCGTCGGTGTAATCCTGCACAGCGTGAGCGGCGTCCGACAGGGGGGGTTCGCCAAACACCGGCAGTGGCGCAGCGGCGGCGCGGGGTTTGCCCTGCCGGGGTGGGCAAGGTTGGGGGAGGCGGGCAAGGCGAAATCTGCGCGTGACGCTGGCGGTGTGACCCGGCCGCTCGGATTGTCTGTGCCCACCAGTCCTGTGCAAACCCTTGCCGTCTCCCCACCCACGCGCCTGACTTCCGTGCAACAAACAGTGCGCGTGCGTGCTCGCACACAAGCACGCGCGCGCACGCACGTATACACGCACGCACGCACGCACGCACACTCACTCACACTTCGAACACACCCACAAATATACTCACACATGCACGCACGCACACACACACCCGTGGATGAACACACGCGCACACACACACACACACACACACACACACACACATACACACAAACAAACGTACGCCCACACCAATACACACCCACAGCTGCAATCCGTCGCCACATGGGACCCAAACCAGCACAGCGACTTCGACCGCTACACGGTGAGGAGGGAGGGGGGGCCCTCGGCGGTGCGGCACGGCCACACTTGCGCCGCACGCGTCGGCGCCCGTAGCCCATGCCGGCGCCTGCCTTTTCCGGCGCCAGCCAAACGCGTCCCCGCGCGGCCGCTGGCCCCGCGACCTTTCGCCGCAAACCGCGCGCTGAGGCCCGCAGGCCGCGTGGCTCCAGCCGGACGGGTCATGGCTGTACCCCGATAAGTACATGGACAGCGCGCAGGAGGCGCTGAGGTGGCGCGAGGTTGAGGGCATGCTACAGGACAGATTCGTGGACCATCCCAAGCTGCCCGGGGGCTTGAGGCACCTGGTGCTGCCGCTGCAGGAGGTGGGGGCTGTGGTGTGTGCGTGTTTGTGCGAAGAGGGGGTGTGTGGGAGAAAGGGTGTGTGTGGAAATGTGTGTTGTGTATGTGGTGTGTGTGTGTGTGTGTTTTGTGTGTCTGTGTGTGTGCCAGGTCAGCACTGAGAGAGCCATCCTTGAGCCAGGCAGGGTAGCCAGGCATGAGCCGCAAACTTTGTGATATTTGACCTCGGGACCGACCGCATCCGCTTGTGAGGCAGCACACGTATGAGCGTGGTACACGACACCCTGCCATCGTGTCCGCAAAGGGGCCCGCACGCAACTGCTTCCCCCATGGGCCACCTGCTCCGCCTCGCCTCCGCGCAGAACAACTGGCAGCCGCTGCCGCCGGAGCGCCAGCGCGAGTGCGAGGCCGCGGCCGAGGCGGCGCGGCAGCGCATAGACGCGGCGGTCCAGAGCAGCAAGAGACTCCGCGCCGCCGAGCTCGCGGCCTCGCGCCGCGCGGCGCGCGCGCGGGAGCGGCCGCTGGAAGGCGAGGAGGCGCCGGCGGCGGGGCGCGGCGGGCGAGGGCGGGGGCGGGCGGGGCCAGGGGGGCGGGTGATCAGCGCGTCGATGGCGATATACACAAAGGGCTCGGAGCCTGTATATGATGATGAGGAGGAGATCGCCGACAGCGACGACGAGGGCCCCTCGGAGCGGCCGAAAAAGAAGGCTAGGGGCGCTGCAGGTGGCTCAGCAGCGGCGGCGGCTGCGACGGCTGGAGTGGCGAAGGGGCAGAAGGACAAGGGGGCGGCCGCGGCCAAGGAGAAGGGGTCCGCGGGGCCGGCAGGCAAGGGGGCCGGCGCGGCTGCGAAGGGCAAGGCTGCAGCGGCCGACGGGAGGCAGCCTGCCAAGGCGGCGGCGGCGCCGGCTGCGGCGGCGCCTGCGACGCCGAAAGGAAAAGCTTTGGCGACAGCGGCGCCTGCGACGCCAAAGGGCAAAGCAGCAGCGGCGGCGGCGGCTGCCAAGCAGACGCCGCGCGAGCAGAAGCTGCCGCAGCGGACGCCTACCAGAAGCGGCGGCGGCGCGGCGGAGGCGGGGCCGTCCGTCCCGGCCCGCGCCACGCGGGGCGCTAGCGGCAGCGCGGCCCCGGCGGCCGCCAAGCAACCGGCCAAGCAGCGGGCGCCGGCGGCCAAGGTGCCGGCCAAGCAGCAGGCGGCGGCGGCGGATGCGAAGGGCAGGGGCAAGGCGGGGCGGGCGGCGGAGCGGCCCCAGGGAAAGTATGTCGGGATCACAGGTGAGGGGCGGGGGGCATCAGGGAGACTGGGGCCGCTGCTCAGCCGTCCGAGACGGCAGCGGAGCTGCGTGCGACGCCCTGAGGCCCCTCCGCCGCTTGCCCCCGCCCCTAGGCGGAGCCCTGTGCATGCAGCCGGCCGCTCTCAGCCGACCAGCGCCGCGGCGCGCCCGCGCTGCCGCTCGGCCTTCAGATCCACCGCCCCCGCCGCCCCCTCACACACACGCGACAAGAGGCTGTGCCGCCATACCCGCCGCCAACTTGTACGCGTGACTGAGCCTGCCGTTCTTCCCCCTCTCCTCTGCCCGCCACCCCCAGGGCGCGTGTACCCCCCGTCCTCTGCATACCGCCAGGGGGACCTCCTCATTAGCCAGGTGTGTCCCCGAAGGGGGGGAGACCCGGGGGGTAGGGCCCGAAGCGAAGGGGAGGGGGGCGTGGTGGCTGTGGCGCTGCGGAGGGTCGGGGCAGCGTTGGCGGCCTGCACACGTGTTCTCGCTGCGCCCCGCGCCCAGGAGCGCCACCAAAATACACAAGCACAATCAGACACGCACGCGTGCGCACACGCACACACACACACACACACACACACACACACACACACACACACACACGACTCACACAAATACACACGAAGCACACATTTACGCTCTTTGTCCCCTCCCCCCCCCCTCAGTATGCTGACGAGGACCCTGATCCCGAGGCGGAGTTTGAGGTGGAGGCCGTCCTGGACGAGGCCACGGCCGGGCAGCACACGCTGTACCTCATAAAATGGAAGGTGAGGGGACAGGAGCCACGGGCCAGGAGCCAGCCACACACACCCATCCCATGCACGCAAAGAGCCCACAGGCTGTATGCCTGCTTCTGCACAATCCATCCCCCCGACACACACACACACACATACACACACACGCTTGTAGGCAAGTGCGGGTTGATAGGCTGCAATGGTATTAGGCGGCAGCCGCTTGGTTGGCAGCGTGAGCTGGTGTGAGCGCCCTCGCTGATCGAATGTTCTGTCCCCGGCGCCTCGGCGTCACCAGGGTTACGAGCTGGACACGGGTGACCTGGGTGACAACAAGGGCGGCTGGGAGCCGGCGGCCAACCTCTCGCGCGCGCTGATACGCGGCTGGCAGCGGCGGGACAAGTACCCTGGGTTCAACAGTGGGTGTCCGCCTGCTGGAGGGTTGGGGAGGCTGGTCCAGGGGGGCGCTTGCATGCGCGTTGGTGTGGGCAGGGAAGTGGCAGTGGACGTGTCGCATGTCCAGGCGAGCACCCAGTGAGCGCCACGGCCCCGCAGTGCTGCACGATACTCACACCCTGTTGCAGCTACGGCCGCCCAGGTCGTGTTCCCACACACAGCATCCTGCCCGTACGCGCGCGTTCGCCCGCTCGCGCCTCGCGCCACACAGGGGTCAAGCAGGCGGCCGCGAACGCGGCGCTGCTCAAGGCGGCCTGGTTGGACGAGCTGCCGGTGCCGGGAGAAGGCGGCGGCGACAGCAGCAGCGACGAGGAGGAGGAGGAGGAGGAGGAGGAGGAGGAGGGGAGTGAGGAGGAGCAGCAGGAGGGCGGCAGTGAGGAGGAGGGGGCGGAGGAGGAGGGCGGCGGCAGCGGCAGCGATGAGGAGGAGGAGGAGGAGGAGGCACACTCCAGCTCGGATGAGGACGGCGGCGGCAGCGACAGCGGCGGCGGCAGCGAGTCTGAATGAGGGCGCGGCGCGGCAGCCATCGCACTGTGGCTGCCCAGGGCTGTCGCCGTGGTGCTTTGTCAAACGTCTGACAGCTTCGGGGCTGCGTCAGGCGGTGTGGTGTATGCCGCAACTGACGCCGCCTATTCTGAGCATGTGCTGGCTTGTGTGTCTTTTTGGCAGGGCAGACGGCAGGTTTGGGATCTGCATGCCTGTGTGCTGGATGTGTTGTTGTAGTTGTGTGTTACGGAAAGCAGGTGCCGTGTTGCGCTCTGGTGTTGTGCAATCTGAGGCTGAGTCACGCTGCTGGTTTTGGCTGCTGATGCTTCTGAGAGTGACCGAAGGCGCTCGAGCAGGCAGAGGCATGCGAGGCAGCGAATTGTCCCAACATCAGTACCTTGCAATGTGTTTGACCGTGAGGGGGGGGGCATAAGGTAACGCGCGAGGCGGGGCGCGCGGGGACCGGCTGGAGGCGCAAACAGGTTGCGTGGGGTGAAACATTGCGCCAGGCGCGGTCAAGGCCCTGGCTTCTGCGTGCCATACGACCCGCCGCATGGCTTGTGCAGTACGGTAGCATACTAGACCCTGCTTGCACATTATGCTGCTTCTGCGTGAGCCCATGCAGAGCGCCTAGCGCTTGAGCAGCGTGGCGCACAGGCAGATGCTGACGGCCTGCGTGCTGCGGGGGTGTCCTCAGCGCGCAGCGTTGCCTTCCTGGAAGTGGCATTGTGGCGAGAAACTGGGTGAATGCAGCCAGGCGCATGCTGGGCGATTGACTTTGCCGGACGCGGTGACGCTACCTTGGGGGCGGCGTGGCAGGTTCTTGTGCTCAGCACGGGCAGAAGGGCTCAGGCGGTGGCTGGCATGCAGGGGCGCTTGGGTGGTGGGGATTGGAGGGCTTGCAACAGCTGTGAACGCAGGTCATGCAGTGAGCTCTCAGTTCTCTTGAGAGTGCCACTGGGATGGGTGCCATGGAGGATGACGTGAAAATGATGGAGCATGCCTGAAGGACGGGGTTCTGCGCAGGGCCTCCAGTCTGCAGCAATCGCAGGATTTTTGGGTTTGCGGCCTACAGGCGGGCGCAAACAACCGATCAGGTTGACCGAGTCACTGAAACCGGCTGCCGCCGCCAAGAGGCTACTGTACGCTCCTGCTGCTGGCGTCAGCTGTACACGACAGTGTTGCCCAACGGCAGTTGCAACTGTTGCAATTTCAGCGGTGCATCAGCAGTGCATCTAGCGGTCATCAATGGTGACCACGACGCCTGCCCGCTCAAAATCCGTCTTTAAAACAGCCAATGCATATGCGAGAAAGCAAGCCTTCATGCCACCGCGCGCCCTAGAGCCGAGGAAGAGAGGCAGCATCCCTCAAGCATCCTTGAAACGTCGCACATGCAGAGCCTTAAGCGAGCTCGGAGAGAGAGCAGCATGCGTGTCGACGGTCGCGCCGCCAAGCGGGCTCCCGGAGAAGCTCAAGCGCTGCAGCGGCACCGCCTGGGGGCTGCATGCGCACGCCTACCCGGACATCAAGGGTATCAACCGGCGCCAGCGTCGCTCCGAGGGGTCAGGCACATGGCGGCGGTGACGGCAGAAAGCAGTGCCCCAAAACGGGGCTACTCGCCGCGTGGGGCACAAGCGGACGCTCAGCAAGGCCAGGCCGCGGAGCGCAGACAAGCGCTGCGCGTGGGCGCCTGCACCCACCCACTCCAGCCTGATCGGCCCCGGCAGCGCAGCCCGCCCGTCCCACTGCCCGTCGCTGAACCAAGCGGCGGCGCGCCGCCTCTCAGTTTGCCATGCACAGACGCTGCAAGGCCCCTAAGCCAGCTGAGCTGGCATAGGGGCCCGCATGCTGCCACTGTTTTAAGATTTCACTTGCCCTTGGCGTCGAGGTTCTTGAGAATTGCCTTCACACCACCCTTCAGTTCCTGCACATCACGCTTCAGTATCTCAATGTCCTTGCTGAGCGTCTTCTCCGCAGCCGCGAGCTTGACCTCCAAACACTGCATCTCCGATATCATCATCTCCTGCAGGCCGCATTGGCATGAGTTGGAATGGGGGATCTCGTGTGGGCTGGGTTGAGTTGCAGCTCGCTGCAAGCTCCACGCGCAAGGTTGGAGCAGTTGCAGCACTGGTTTGGAGTTGGGCCGTTTCATTGGGCGCGTTCGTTGTAGCACGCTGCGCGTTGGTTGCTTAGATTTGTCTGGTTGCACGCATCGCTGGGTCCGTTCGCATGGTGCATCCCACTCCAGTCATCCAGGTTTCCAATCGCACCCAGTTCAACGCACCTTGACAGTGTTCAGTTGGGAGCGCTCGACATAAACAGCGCCGGCTGCTGCTGCGATTGCAATGGCCATTGCTGGCCCCCAAGTAACATATCCCTCAAGTTCTTTCATAAGCATGGCCCTCTCCTCCAGCCGGGGAGCCTTGCGCACCGCGTCGACAACCTCGGTAGTCAAGCGCCGGAGCGCCATCCTACGTCACCTGCGCAGAATCAGATTCATTTGATTGGACCAACAACCAGAAGCGTTCATAAAAAGTTTACGGCATGTCGCACCTGTTTGTGTGCCAACCAGAGGCCTTGCCTGGCGTGCGCACTGACTTCTGTGCGCTTCGGTTATGCTCCGTGTAAATGCAAGTTGAATAAACGAACGCGTAGGTCGCGATCACCAAAGGCGCTGCATGCGACGCGACGCGAGCTGGGCAGCTTTGCGTATGTGGGGTGCGTGCGTTTGTGTATAGCCAGTATTGTGGTTTATTCCGCAAAAACAAACAATGCGGATGAGCTTCCACCACTAGCAAATTCAACAGCGCAGGGAAACACACCGACAAACGTTTAGTCAACAGCAGCTACGGTATGGTAATGGAAGATGGGCAGGTTTAGGCCACCTGTCAGGCTAGTGGGACAGACTGCTTGGCATACCCTGCATCCTGGCGGGGGAGGGGCGCTGCAAAAACATTGCTGCCACACTCGCCTAAGAAGCAATAGACTGCACTGCTGTTAGTTGTTCACTCCAGCTCTGAACCCAGGCACTGCTGTGACCCAGCCGCCCCTCAGCTGCTCTGCACCAAAGCTTTTGCAGCCAGCTTTTTACAATATCTCTGCCACTCAATGCCGGTGCTTTAGCGGGATGCCACTTTCTCTTGGGGGCCTGCGTGTGCTTGCGCCGCCGCCGCCGCCGCCGCCGCCGCTGCTGCTGCTGCTGCAAACTGCTGCAGGGGACCACTGAGGGGCTGCCAATTTGTGTGTCTCGCCCCCTTTCATACACCTCGGCTGGGCTTACGCTGCCAGGCACGCCCTGCTGGTGGCCCGCGCGCCAAGCAGCCTTGCTGCCTCCCAATGGCCTCCAAGCAAGGTTTTAAAGCGCGCTTCCCACAATTGCCCTTCTCGGTTGTTGGGTTCATGTGTGGCATCCATTATGGCACAGCACTTTTGAGAGTGCAGCAGCGCTAGGCCGCCGCATGGCGCTCAGACGCGTCGGCTGCTCAGGGCCGCGGCCTGGATGCCTCAGCACTGGCTGCAGAGCTGGCGCATGCCCGGCTATACCTAGGCCTGATCGTTGGCGGCGTTGCGGATGGTGCGTGCTGCTGCTGTTTGCTGCTCGACACGCACAGCGGACTCGCTGGCAGTGGGGTCTGAAATCCACCAGGTTGTGCGTGCAAAGCGCAGCGGCGGCGGCCAGATGGCGCGGCAGCTGCTGCCGTGGCAGCGGAGGTGGAGCAGCTGCTTATGCGTGCAAATGGCCCGCACAGTGTGCAGGGCCCTCAGCAGTAATTCATGGCGGCACTGCGGCAGCAGTTGGATGGAGCAACCCAGGCATGCAGCAGCGGGTAAAATCAGCCGTCACTTTTGCTGACCAGCGCTACACTTGTGCGTGGGTCAATGCGGTCGGAGAGCAGCAGGGACGCCGCGACCGCGACCGCGGCGGTCAAGGCCAAGCTCCAGGGCCCAGCGGCGACGGCGGGCGTCCGCCAGCAGTTGGGAGGGTGGGCAACCCGCCCATGGGACCACGCGCTGGCCAACCGGGCTGCGCGGGCCATCCAGCAGGATGGTGGTGCTTGTGCGGAGCACGCGGCTTCCTTTGCCGCTGGTGATGCTCATTAGTTTGAACATAGGTTATGAGCAAACACAGGTCATGAGGTTACTGTTGCCATGCGGCATGATGAAGAGTCTGGATTCTGCCTGCTGCTTACCCACATACTCTTACTTGTGGAGTATGGTAGCTCACTCACACCGGGCATGCACAGTATGATGATCGTGCTTGAGCTCGTGAGGGCACCAGCAGCCGGAGATGACTCAGCTGACTCATTCCTGTGACCAGGCAACGGTGGATGATTAGCTCAGTGCCTTGTTACAAAATTGGCACACGCAAGGTGGCTTGATACCTTCTGTAGACGTGATCATCAAGACATACATGAGCTCGTAGATCAGTTCTATGAGTATACAAGACTTACGGCAGAACTCGAATATCATTGTCGGTACACACGATCGTACTGTTTACTGAAGCGCAGCGAGTCACCGCCGACGCGTCGCTCCGGCACAGGCGGGACGGCGCGTCCGACGCTGCACGCGCCCACCCCAAGCCGCTGCACGCCCGTCGCTATTGCGCCCCGCGGGCGCAGCGCCGCGGGGCAGCACGCAGCCCCATGGATGCGCTGCCGTACGTGGACACCCTGGTGAAGGAATACCTCGCTTTCCGCGGCTTCACGCGCGCCCTCGCTTCGTTCAATGCAGAGCTGGTGCGCCTCGCCCCTCCCTCCGCCGTGGTCGGCAAACAGCATCCGGGCGTCAGGGCAGGCCCCGCCCTATCGCGCCGACTGCTTCCAGGGATGGCAGCTGCCGGCTGCGACGCTCCGAATCGCCGCTGCAAGCCTGCTATAGACCCCGTTTTTCCCACCCACATGCTGCTGCAGCATCCAACGAACACACCCATCCTCCGCCTTCGCCTCCTGCGCCTGTCCCCCGGCCCTGCTTCCCCCCCTCAACACCGCGTTCCGCAGGCGTCCGACAGCGGCTGCGGGCTGCAGGCGGAGGCGCTGGTGGGGCTCGTGTTTGGGCAGCTGCTGCCCTCACTGGACACGGCCGGCCTGATCGACCTGCTCGACTTCCTGCAGACCACGTGAGATCCAGGATCTCTCGAGACGGGATGGGGGATCTGAGGTCATAGAACGCACATAAACAAGGATGCAGCAGTTGCGGCTGCATGCGAACAAATCTGCGAGAGCGGGCAGCTGTGCTCGAACAGCGGCCTTGTGCGCGCTTCAACGCACCCGCCGCTGCCAGCGCGCGCCGGGCCTGGTGGCCGCGGCTCGCTCTGTATCGCGCGTTGTGGGGCGACCCCGCGGCCGCGCGCTTCTCAGAGGTCTCGGTGTCAGGCGGGGTTGGATCGGCCCCTGCGGCTGAGCAGCCGCCAGTGAGCCCCCCACACAGGAGAATTGGCCAAACCACGGGGAACATGACTCCCCCCGCCCACACACACAGGCTGTACTCGCGCCTTGACGCGCGCCACGACGCGACAGTGCGCTGCGTCGAGGCGGCGCTGCTGCGCGCGCTGCTGGTCACGGCGGTGCGGCAGCGGCGCCCCGACAAGGTGCGGGGCGGGCCAGCCAGGGTGTGTGCGTCCAGACGGGGCGATCGCGCGCTGGCCGCGCCCGCAGCGCAGCAAGAGTGGGCCGAGCCGCGACGCAGCGAGCGGCAGCTCCGGCTTTGGCTTTGGCGCGGTTTCCACACCCTCAAATCGTGTGCGGTGGGCCTCAGCCAGGCACCCTCGCGCGATTCATTCGTCGAACCCGCCCTCCCGCACGTGCACGGCAGCGCGAAGCTCCCAACGCTCCCCCGACCCCTTTGGCTTCAGGAGGGTTGGTGCAGCCCCTCCGCATCCTGATCAAACACTGACCCCCCTTAAAACGCGCGCCCCTCTGCCACTGGTTCAGTCGAACCCCCAAACCCTGGAACCTAACTCCGAAATGGCCAACAAGCCCCACCCCCACCGCTCACCCCAGGTGTCTGATTTCTTCCAGGAGTATGGGGCCGGCCTGATGCGCGGCCCCGAGGCGGAGGCGTGGGCGCCCTGGTTCGCCCTGGCCTACCTGCCATCCCCTGAGAAGCACCCTGCCTTCCAGGTGTCGCATGCGCACCGAGCTGTTCCGCATCGCCTGGCTCACCGGGCTGATGGCGCCCTGTAGTCTCCAGGATTTCGGGTTGAAGGCGCGGCAGAGGCCAGGACAGGGGCTCCTGCCTTGCGGGACGAAGCAACCCCCGCGAATAACCGACAACTGACCATCGACCACGATTGCTTAGCAATCGCGCCCCCCCAATTCAAAATTCGATCAGGTGTACTTCACGCCCGAGTGGATGGCCACCCTGGCCCAGAGCCTCCGAAACTTCCTGTCGGAGGTTTTGCGCTGCGCGCCGCTCCCCGCGCTGCTGCGCTTCGACGCTGACCGGGCGGCACGGCTGGCGCTGCAGCAGCGCGCCGACGCGCTCGCGGCTGAGCTGGCGGCGGCGCGCACGCAGCTGGCGGAGGCGGCGCGGTGGCGGCGCGAGCGCGAGCAGGAGGCGGCGGCGGCGGCAGCGGCGATATCAGCGCAGCAGCAGCAACAGCAGCAGCAGCAGCAGCAGCAGCAGCAGCAGCAGCAGCAGCAGCAGCGAACCGGCGGCGACACTGACCACCAGGCAGCTGCGCAGTTTGCGTTTGCAGCCCCCGCGGCGCCCGCCCAGGCGCCGCCTTCCAGGCCGGTGGACGTGCCGTCGAGGCCGCTCGTCCCGGGCAGCAACGGCCCCGCATTTGAGGGCACCCGGGACGCGCAGGCGCCCGCGGCCGCAGCGGACGCCCCCGGCGGCGGCCGCCGCGGCGGCTCGGCGAGTGGCAGTGGCGGCGGCGACGGGGCGCGGGGCCGGCACGTGCGGGCGCCGAGCATCACGCTGGATGCAGGGGCCGCGATCGCCCAGCCGAGCACGGACGGGCTGGGCGGCGAGCAGCAGCAGCAGCAGCAGCAGCAGCAGGCCCCGCGGCCGGCGCCTGCGCCGCGGTCTTCACCGGGCAGCGCGCTGGCGGGCCTGTTGGCGACGTCGCCCCGCGCGGCGGGGCCGCTCTGGGAGGCAGCCGCCTCGAACACAGGCGGCGGCGGCGGCGGCCTTGGACGATCCCCTAGCAGCAGCGCCCGCCTTAACCCCGGCGCCCCGCGGCCCACCCGCCGCCCCAGCGACCTCGCCGCAGCGGCGGCCGCGGCGCCGCCCCCGGCGCCGCTGCCGCAGGCGCTGCTGCCGCGCGCCGGCGCGGGTGCAACCGCGGCGGCGACGCACCACAGCCCGTTGGTGGGGGGCGTGAGCTGCCTGGCTTGGTCGCCGCGCGGCGATAACGTGGCGGCAGGAGGCCGCGAGGGGCTGGTATCAATCTGGTCGGCGCCGGAGGCCGGCGCAGGCGCCAACGCGGCGCGACACGCGAGCTTGTCGTGCGGCACCGCGGTGTCGGCGCTCGCATGGGACGCGAGGGTGGGTCCGCAACTGCGAGCGAAATCGCATGATCATCGTTTTAATGTCAATACCGTTTCTTGCAGGGGTGTGCGCTTGCAACCACCTGCATGGCGCTACCCGAGGACCCGCACACGCACATGCGCAGTGCGCACACGCACACATGCCCGCACACGCGTGATGAGGCACGCATGTGCGCGCGTGCATGCACAAACTCCAGCAAGGCCCCACACTAATCGCCTCCCCCCGCCACGCACACACCCAACGCACACATCGACATGCCCGCCATTTCCACCGATGAGATATCCTCAAATCATGTAACCCCCCCAACCCCCCCCCCCAGGCTGACAAGGTGATGCTCATCGGCCTGCACGCCCCCAGCCACGACAGGCCCGGCCCCGTGCGCGTGTGGCACTGCGACACCCGGCGGACGCTCTCGGACGTGGCCGTCGGGTGAGACCCCTCCCCTCCCAACCTCCCAGGTTGCAAGGGGCCGCTGGGTCGGGTGGGCTGGGGACAATGGCTTCAACGGGGAGGCTCATGGTATTAATGGCCCAGGTTGTGGCAGCAGAGGGCGTCGCACGAGGTCTAAGGGACGTGCGGGGGCGCAGCAGTGGCCGCCACAGGGTAGGAAGCGCCCAGGACAGCGACACGCGCGCGGCGCCGTGCTTGCCCAACACGCCGCGACCACCACGCCCGGTTTGGCATCTGTGTCGAGGCCGATGCAACTTGCCACGCTCCCTGTTGAAACCTGCTCTACACCTTTGGTTTCTCCCAAATAATCTTGCATCCTTTGTTGAACCCTCACCTACAAATCACTGTCCTTTGGGTCCGCCACCTCCCCCACCC